AAAAAAAAAAAAAAAAAGGTTTATATAGAACTGCTGGATCAGAGGATATGCACAGTTTTAAAATTTGGTAAATAATACTAAATGCCTTCCAAAAGTTTTTACCAATCAACAACCAATAAGATGCCTGGTTCACCGCCTCCTTATAAAAGGTGATTTTTGACAGTCTAAAGTTAGCTTTTTTCTATTTTTTAACTTGCGTTTAATTATGAACCAAGTTGGAAATCTTTCCAAATGGTTGAAATCTTTCCTTTCTCTGAATTGTCTGTTTATACTCTTCAGTTTTCTACTGTGTTGTTGATTTTTAATAGTACTTTACGTATTAAGATTAGCCCTCTACTGATACTTAGAAATTATTTCCTAATTTATCAATATTTTAAATTTTGCTTATAGCATTTTTCCATGTGGAGATGTTTTATTTGCATGTATCCAGATTTATCCAATCTTTTATGGTTTTGGATAGTGTTTTTTATAATTTTTCTCCATTTTTACAGGATCATTTTTCACAGTTGAATTCGCAGCTACTCTGGAATTTACTTAAGTGTACATAATGACATAGGATTCCAGTTTGGGGTCCCACTCCGAACACCGTATGTTGATTAAAGTATCATTTCCCCAACTAATTCAAAATGTCACTTTTCTATGGGTCTACCTTTGGACTCTCTGCTTTGTTTGATATATTTATCTATTTCTGTGCCTGTTACAAAGTATTTATTGTAATTTTTAAAAAAATAACTGGGTTTACCTGCAGTCCTCTCCCTCCCTTCCTTCAGCTTCTTATTCGTTGTTTCTCTGGCTATTCTTCACAGTTTATTTTTTCATTTAAATTCTAGCATCAGGTTGTCTATCTGCAAATACATGCAATTTTTCCTTTTATCTGGTATACTTACATTTATTTTCTCGTCTAATCATTTGACCAGTAATTCCATAACAATGTAAATAACAAGGGCAAATACCAGAAATTTTAGTAGTAAACATTTGCCCCAACACAGTTTCTTCATTGTCAACCAAGAAAATGAAAATTATTTTACCCTTGTTTAGTCTTATCCCTCTCTTATTCCCCTCAACAATTATAGAGGAACCTCACCAGTCTTCCCAAGCTCCTTACACATATCTTTCACAGCTCTCTGTTTTATCCTGCTACTTGACCAAGAAATATCCTGTCCTTCTCCACTACATGATCACCCAGCTTTACCCTCTTACTTTCAATGTCAGAGTCCACATCCCTTATCCATGTTTTCAATCACATACCTTAAGGCTTCATCTGAGACTTTGTTCTCTTTGGCCTATGAGCACACTCAGTGCTTTACTTTAGGTTGAATGGGTGAGTAGCCAGCCTTAGAAAAAAATTTCCCCTTTAAATTATAATAGAATACAAGAGAAAGGAGAGAGAAACGTGTTCCACATGCAACAAATGGAATTGAAATCTTGGAAATACTATTTCTTTTATGTATCCTGCTTAAGAATTACAATTCCTGAAACTGAAGGTGTCTCTTATAATTACTGAAAAATTCTCAGCTATTTCCTTTTCAAATATTGCCTCTTCCTTTATTTTCTCTAATTTCCCCTTCTGTAATTCCAGTTAGATATGTTAGAGCTTTTATCTTCCCTCTATATTTCTTAGTCTCTTTCATACTAACTTTTCATCTCTCTCTGTTAAATTCTGTGTAATTTCCTCTTACCTAGCTTCTGGCTCACCAATTCTTTCTTCAGCTCTTGTCAGATTTGCCATTTAACTTCTGACCGTTACATTTGGAATATCAATGGCTATATTTTTCATAGGTGAAGTCGCTTATTTTAATTCAAACCAGTCTCGTATCTTTAATACTGTCTTCTTTTCCCAGATGGTTCAATTCCTTTTATGTTTGTAATTATTTTAAACATTTTTATTTTATGGTCTCCATCTGATAAGTATATTACTTGACATTCTTAATGGCCAAATCCTGCTGGGTTTGGTTTACTGGCCCTTGCTCATGGTTGGGGCTGAGCGGTTGGGGAAGGAATTAGGTGTCATTTTACCACAAATCACTTTGTTAATTCTTTCATCAATTTCTTGGCTTAGGCAGTCCC